AAATGGTTTACTGGGATTATCTTGCTTTATTACTATTGTGTCAGTAGCATAATGTAGTTTCATTAATATCGTTAATCATTATACTTCTCTGTAGCAATATGTTCAAAATTTGTTATCGTTACAGGCCAAACCATAACAATTAATTGGTGACATTATCAATATAACTACGACTATGCAAATACAGATATTCTATTGGCTCACTACATAATCACCTGTTTTTGTTCTCATCCCCAACCTCTCTCTCCATTCAGGGCCCATCCCCCTTTCCTCTTGACCACAAATGAACGTTATGACGCTAATGAAGGTGACTTGGAACTCCTGTTTTTCTACACTCAGAACATCCCCGGGCCTAAATATAACAAACAAAAACATGTTCAGGCCATTGAGTCTAATAGTGATATTATATAACAAAGACGTTTTAGCCACTGTGAGTTATTACAATGGGAAGAATGCATGGGGAGCGCAGCATGTGAAACCAATTAAAACCAGCCTTGTCATATTGCCTGCGAATATACAACATCCACAGCACTGATGTCTATGCACCTGTGTCCACTGTATTAAATCCACACCAAATTTTTCTTCTTCTCAAATTTCACTATCAATATCACCGTGAAGAATCCTACGATGAGTTAAAGTACCAAAGGGGAGGTGGAAGAACCAGGTGGAAATTTCACATTATCTATTCATCTGTGATGTAAGGGGCTGGCTGTGGAGGCAGGAAATGAGTTATGAATGTGCAGCCAGCGTATACTTGTGCTCCCAGCGGCCACCAACCTACACACAACCAGATCAAATACACTAAGGGAAAAGAGCTTTAATAGACCCCGCTGTAATTGGACTTTTATTTGTTAATGGTAGAAGTCCTGATGCATCACTTTCATTATCCTGGCACAACTAATTTAGAAGAAAAACATACTTACACAAACTTTGATAGAAATAACGGCGCCTGAGATGGCTGTTTTTAAATGAATCTACTGCAACTATATCCAGCCCTTGTGAGACATGCAATAGTTCAAACTGTTTCTCGCTTAAGCCTGCCAGCTGCCATAAATGAACGTTTTCTTGGACCTTATCCAGATCTTATTATACAAACTTTCCATAAGACTGTTTGAAACACAATTTTACATTTGTTATATTAAAATGGTTGTGGATGGAAATAGGACTGCAAGATTAATCGTAATTTGAATGCTTGCAATTACCAAATGGGAAACGCGGCAATTATTTAGGTAATACAATACTGTTCAGTGCATAACAAAATATCCAGTCACCAAGGGAACTTATTATGAAAACGCCTGCCGATGACCACATAGTGTAGTTTACAAACGTGTTATGAGCAGCATGTCATTCTTGGATTAGTTTAGCAATTCATATTTTAGTGTTACATATCATTTGAGTGAAAACTTTAATTTAGTATAAACATAAAGCATTCCTACAATACTTATATTTTATTATAATGCGCAATAAGGTATCTTTGAGCCTTATATGGAAGCCTACAATATCATATTACAGTGTTTTATCATGTAGGTCATGATAGGTCATCTTTAATGAATGGGCTGTCAGCTACTATGAGCAGTTGCATCAAAACAGTTTATTTGAATGGCAAGATAGATACACCCTAAACCACTTAGTACTGGTAAAATGAAGAATATGCATGTGTGTATATTATACTTTAAAATATGTTTTAGAATATGTTTATCAAACATACAAGTAGAAATCAAAACATAAACTATTATTCTGTCAAATTTTGGTCATATAAGCACAAAATACTACTGGAAATGTTACTACTTTCTATTCCATCCACGCAACAATGTCTGCACTGGTGACCAATCTTGAAGACATTATGGCTATAGGATTATTGGAACCTGTTTCAAAACATTTAACTAGATGCAGTGTTTTGCATATTATACGTGGGCCATGCTCCAAAGCGTTGGTGGTATTGTCAGCAATCACTGTCGATAGCCTAAACAATTCTGGCATATATTTACACTATATTTGCCATTCAATTGCTATAACACCGACTAACTATGTACAACATCTTTGACATGGCTACCTCAAAACCTTCCAGACAGTTTAGGCTGTTACCGTGGCACACCTCAACCCCATTCCCAGTGAACGGTGCAGTGACAGAGAATGCTCCTAATGTCTTCTTGATTGCTCTGTTTCTAATTCATTACTGACTGAGCTGTAACAGTTTTGCCTCAGCGCTTCTCGCCTCAAACTGACACATATTTCCCCTAAACAGGGCCATTCTATAAAGTAGATTAGCACAGTTTGCCTGTCAGCTACAGATGTAATATTTTTTGCCTGCCTCAGCCACTATCCCTGTGCATGTCTTGAGGCCGGTCAGTGTATGTGAGCACAAATTTGTGTGTCTTTTCTTGAATAGCTCCTGTCTGGGAGGCATGGCAGGCAGCAAAGAGCTCAGCAGCAGTAGCAGCGCCTCAGTCCCCCAGGACACGCTGCAGCTCTTTCTCCTCATAGCCATGAAAAGCAATCAGGGCCTGGCGGTCTCCCTTGGACATACCTCTGCCTTTAATTACAGCACAGAGAAGAGTGACTATACCAGCGTGTCGTGGCTCTAAAGCAGGTCTCTATGCTCCAGTGAAGCCCAATCAACAACAAGAGCTGCACATTAGGAAAATAACCTATGTGATAGTCACCGTGTTAAATATAATAATAATAATGATTACACATATTTGATACAAGCTTACTAGGCCTGTCATGAAAACAAAATTTGAAGTAAGAATAATACTGAAAGCAAACTATAAAGCAGAATTATCCATAGCACATAATTATCCACAAGTATTCTAAATGCACAATTATTGTTAAAAATCATGACCTGTATTAAAAAATAGCAGAATGCAACAGTAGGAATTAGTCTGTATAGTTTTAGTTCTTAATTCAACCTTCTATAGCTGAAATTTTATCAGACTGCAGACAAAAATAACAAAAAATTCCCACTAGTATAAAGAAAAAAATGCTCACGATAAATATTCACCCCCAAAAATGATTGTTCCATCCATCATGTATTGAAGGATAAGTCAAGTATTTATCATGACAGACCTAGTTACTACAAACAATATAAGCATCTGTGGTTGTTCATTGGGGACTGTATACAATAAACAATGAATACATAACGAGATATAATACTTCAATATTAATACACACTGATTTCATATGTGTTTTATTTACATCAGTGGGTCTGCTTGGATAACTATGCTTACCTAACTGGTGACCCTACAATTAATTATAAAATATCAGGACTGCATCATATGTAAAAACATTAAAAAATGAAGATTCCGTGTATCATTATCTCAATTACAAAAGATTACTATATGTCAGTGTAGTAAATCAAAATGCCATCATAATGTATTTAGCTTCACAAACAATGTATCTGTTGACTTAAACATAAGGAAATATGCGATGTATGCCTAAAAAGAAGCTCTGTCCACTATTTGGGAAAGTTTGACTTCATAACAAATGCAGGTAAATCACAAATGTATTTTGTTGTAGCATAACAAATTCAAAATATTGATCTATAAATATGTTTAGCATATATAAATAACAAGGCTATCAATTGTCAAAAAGGTGATTGATGATGATCGGTTTATTCTGCATAATTGAGAGTCACCTATGAGCTTACATGGAGGAGGCCTAAGGCTGTGGAGGAGCACACATGGGCCAGGGAAGATAAGAGCCATGTACACAAGCTGCCCGCTTCACTGCAGCAATATAAGACCCGGATAGCATTAGAAACACATTTTCTGTATATAAAAAACCTGCAGCTCTGTCCTCACTAATGTGAAACAGAGCCCTAGTGCCAAAATGTGTCATTGGGCTCAATTTCTCACCCAATTTAAACTGAAAGCAGGCACTTAAGCAAAGGCAATGGTGTCTGACCAGAAGCTGTGATGGTGTTACTCTGAATGGTCCATGGCAGGGGCAGACGATGGTACGCCAAGATACTGTACACATTTGTGATCTGTGGGCCCCAGTATTAAAGTCAAACACTGAATTATTACTTCTAGAAATAGCTCCCTTGTCAAAAGCCTCACAAACTACTTATTGTGGTGCCTAAAAACATAACAACAAAACTACTCAATGAACAATTACATTTCAATTAAAACCCCATTTATAACAACCCAAGAATTTGAACACCTTCACAAACTGAGGAAATAGGATGCCAATTCTCCAGGCTACAACTCATCATTTCTATAGCACTGGCTTGTCTGGGCTGCAGGGTGGCTGACTGGGACATCCGGTAAACATCTGTGAGAAGGCAGTATCTTTAAAGGGAGCAGAGACGCTAAGCTCCAGCTGAACCAGTGACCCCACAGTGCAGGCATTCACTCACGCCTTGCTGCACCTGGGTGTCCTCTGCCGTCAGCATGCTTAGACCAATTTGAGGACTTTGTGCTTATAAACCGTATATGAATCATTTATTAGCCTTATCACAGTAGAGGGGCCTGGCTAGCTGTAAGATGATGTGTTATCCCATTGGGTTTCAATGGCCCATTCATGAATCATTCATCAGTTTAGGCTATAGATTATTCCCCATTTATTCATTCTTTATTCGTTTTGGGAAGCTTTGCTCCGGGTGCAGAGCGCTGATTCAAAATGACGTCCACAGGCCAATCTCCAAAACACAACACTCGGGCCATGACTGGCATCAGTATAAGCGACCACACGTGGCACGTGCACTTAGCCACTATTTATGATGTTAACGCATGAACTAACATACATGTGGCTATTGCAAGGAAAGGATACAGCCAAATCGATTGAGCAAAGCGAATGAATGTAGGCTACAACAGCTGTCCCACAGAGGTAGGGCTGCTACTACACCACATGCTTCGAGTGTGGATGAATAAATGTCCTGCCTATGTGATGAAAATGTGCAATATGCATCGCAGAGAAGATATTAGGCTGTCAAAGCTGATAGATCCGACTTCATATTGACACACACACACGCTCAAATATAGCAGCATAGTATCGTTGCCTACCTTCAGAGCGTGTGCGTCCAAACTGCGATTTTTTTCTTCCTCTTCTCCCCTCGTCGCAATGGGATCCTTCTCAGAAGCTTTTTGGACAGTATCGGATATGCGTCTTTTTTCCCCCGATATGCACACACTTCCCCTGCATGTTAACCCCCCGCCCTCCCCGCCGCCGCCTCAGCAGCAGCGGTAGCAGCGGTAGCAGCCTGGGCCTGGCCTCCAGAAAAGAGCAGGTGGACGCGCCTCTCAGTGATGGAGACAGCGCGACGCTCCTCTCCCCCGCCGCTCCATTTTCAATTACGGGCCGATTCGTATTCCAGGAAACGCTCTACGGGGCAGCCAGCATGTCCTAGCGTCGCTGCTTTTCTCGTGCCGTCGCCTGGCTGTCACGCTCCTTGTTCGCGCCACCTCCTGGCCTCCTTTCTGTTTTACGAGCTGCTTGATGTTGCCATTGTCGCGGCGTATTTTTTTTTTTTTCTTTCTATTTTTTTGCAGCTGGACCTCTCCTCCCCTCCTCGTAGCGCGCAGTCTCGTAAGCGCGCTCTGAGCCTTCTCTCTCCTTTTCGTTTCTTCTCGTTTTGGACCTATGAGCGCGCGCACAGCCAGTCGACGCAGGGCACGCTGGCGTTGGTTCGCTCGTGTGGACGACGCACTGAGCAAATCAGGTAGAGCCCACACCGAACAGCACTGTATCATAACAGGGCAGCTGCAATGACATGAATAATGAATAGATTGCTCGTGTTTGCTTGTGCGGCATGATAGGTCTTACAGCGAGCTCTCTTCACACCCATGCAAGCCAAATTTGGACACTTTCTTTTCCAGGACACTGCACGCTGACGACTAATTATAATACTTAACTACACTGCTGGAATTAGGCAAATAGATAACAGAAGCACGTCAATAATCCACACAATAATATGACATGGAAATAAATTAGACTTATGTTTTATACGACTTATACTGTCGTATCCTCTCAAGTAAATTAAGTCAACTAAGGACATGGGTAAATCCGGGACCAAAGGAGTCAGGACTGAACTCCAACTTCACATCAAATTCACAATTGTGTTATACTGTTATACTGAGTCAGCATTTAGCCAAAATGTAATCTCTTGTCTATGACCAAAAGACATTAAGAAAACAATTAGACAAATGGAAACTTTCCAAACTAAGCATATTACAATATCGAAAAGTATTAAAAATATTAACCTGGCCCAACATTATTTTATACAATCCCTCACTGACTCAGTCATAATCTGTAGAAAGTAACAAAAGTTTCAAATAATATTTTTAAATATAGCACCTTGATTGAGAAAAAAGTGTCCATTCAATGTCCTACTATTTTAGAATCCCTATATCCCCAATCAATGGACAGCTGACACCCAGGACCTCCACATATTAGGGTTGCATGGTCATTTGCATTAATGATTTTTTGATTAATCTTTAAGTAGCATGAAAAGAAGCCCTGGGGACTTATGAATTTTGACTGGTCTATACTGGGTCCAATAGAGACAGTGGAGGCTCCACAGAGACCTATGTTTAATTGTGCTGCTCTGTTGTCAGTCTGCAGCCTAATTACTGGAATGTGTTTGTAAGACATTCTGTAACCCTATATGAGTTCATATATAAATATAAAAACCCTTTACAACTTTTGCAAGTTTGTTTAATGTGCAGCAATTAACACACTTTAACAAACTCTATATTTGAGATATGCTGTTGTGTTTATTGGCAGTCTCTTTGGACACTTTTTACTAATTCACTAATTAAAACATGGGTAATATAGGTTCACAATATCAGCATGAGTAAATCACTAGCCTTAAGGTCACATGGTCTTGACACTTTTTTCTCCAAAAAGAATTATTATTCAATTTGGAAAATTGTATCAGTAGTGCCCTTGTGTGGCACACAGGGAAGAATAACCCGTGGCTGCATATCAGTAGGAATGGAAGGGTTTAATTGTAATAATTGTATAACCATAGGAACCTAATGGAGCTAATTGTGACAGTAGGAAAAGTAGCATTATTATTTGCATTATCATTAGTATGAAAATACTTTATACGGAAACTGCCTTAAAATGTCAGCCTGTTTTCTATAAGCAGTTGTGGTAACATAGATGTTTGTAAATTTGTTATAGCAGTAGTTTCACTGAAGCACAGAATTTGAGGGCATCTTCCATGTAATAATTGTTCCATGAAACAAAAGATAAAAACTGTGACTGCAGCAGATAAACACAATTTATCTGATTAGCTTTGTTTTTTCTTTTTACTTTATGTGACTTGTGCTAATGATCTCCATAGTAACCTCACATTTTCTATAACCGCAGCTCCAAAAATAAATTCTTCTGTGGGAAAAATTGACAGACGACTTCACCTTTAAGCTAACAAGTAAAGAGCTGTACTGTGTAGTTGTAGTTTAATGAAGAAACGTGAGAAAATTATTTTGGACCTAAATTTTCTTTATCATGAATAGAACAATTGATCCCAACCCAGAGAGTGGACCAGTGTGAACTCCACAACGACAATAGTGAACCAACATCCTTTCTGACTCAGTCAATTCAGTGGCACAAAATCAATGTGAGTATTGTACCATAATTACTGTACATATAAAAACAGGAATATATCCATGTTATGTGAAATGGCTTTACTCTGTCATAGGAAATAAAGTAAAATAGTTAGGCCTAAAATTATTTAGCCCATTATAATGAAGCTTACAGTACGAGAATCTACTTTATTGTGTTGAGAAAATCTTTTGGACAAATGAAAATGATAGGTGTAGCGTCAACAATTATTTAACTGTACTACCACCCACAATTTTGCCAATTGATATATATGGTTTTATATGCAGTTTCAGTAAAATTGTAATGTGTCAGAATGAAAGGTTTTAGGTACATTTCATTTGTGGTGTTATAAAATTAGATGACCAAATATGCTTTGTTTTAATCACCTAATATGTATGTCAGAGTGGCAGATATAATTGATGCCACTTAGTCCCAGAGCTGACTGCACAGGGTGAATAATGGGACGAGTCCTGTGGGACAGCTGCAGCATGCGGAGAGACATTTGAGTTCAACATACTTACAGTAAAATGTGCAAATACATTTACAGCAAAATAACAAAATATAACAACAATATTTAGTATTTCCTTCTCTGAACTATTTTCCTTAATGTACCTTAAAGGTGCATTGTATTACTTTTGTTACTTTGTTTTCATGGGGTTGTTATTGATTTGCTTAGAATATTGCACAGTGCTGCATTAAATAGATCTATTTCCATGAAGATAAGACTGTGATGTCGCCAGGCCAAATCACGCGTCAGATCTGTGGAGAAGGGACTCCACTCATAGTAAAAGTGCATGTAATTACATTTTAGTTTGAACAATTAAGACGCAAATAAATTATATTTGAATAAATCCAAATAGACTATTTTAATGTCATCTACATGGAGATACCCAGGACATCACAGAAGTTACTTAGTGAACATAATGTATTTGTTGTATATCTAAAATGTAAAATTGTCTTGTTGTGAATTGCTGGTCACAGACTTACATGTTGTATTAGCTCTGCATGACTTGGATCCACCAATATATGCTCAGAAGTTACATCATATGCAGCAGCAGCAGCAGCAGCGAAGCAGAGCAAGAAATGATAACAGCAAACTTCAAGTATTTACCCAAAGATTAGCTGTGTGTGGTTAAGTGGTTGCATCTGTGAATATTCATCCTCAGTTTGACCAGAAGCACTGATATAGTACACAGGGATTACGCATATAAATTCACACTCCCACACAAAACGGTGGAAATAACTACATCTTCTCCAGGGCCTCGATGCATATTTATCAAGACCAAGATGCCCTCGGCCACACACTGGTTGGTGGTATTGTGGAGCATAGGAAGTGAGCTGCTGTCTGCCAGTGCTATAATGTCCGCAAAGAAACTCTCAGGCCGTAGAAGTTTAGCAAATGTAACATGTGTGGTCTTCCATGGTCCTCTTCTGATTTCACCTGCAAACTATCAGCAGGTCTCAAGGGGGCGCAAACTGTTTTGTTAGGTTATTGTAGATAATATCAGAATATGATCAACCACTTAGAAGTTTTGTTTCTCAAATTAGTTTTAATTTCAGCTTTATTTTAACACAGTCTGATCAGAAAGAGCTGACTTAGTTGGAACTGCAACAGGTGAGCTGATAAACAAGCAAGCCTCTCACACATAACATTACAGTCACAAGCTAGCTCGAATTAGCCAACAGTTTTTAAGTTAGTCACTCTCACTTAAACAGGACCATGAACAACTCGTACTGATTACATTTTGTGTTTTTGTTTTTATTTTTTGGAGATTTATTTATTTTTTTTTTCCATTTTGCTGATAGAGATACATATCCAACACTCCCAACATGATGTCACTGCAAAGTATCAATAGCTATAGTATGTGAATCTGAACAATATGAACAAAGTAACAAAATTAAAAACTCAAGTGTTTGATTTACATGAACATAATAATAAACAAATAGGTGCTTAAAACATTCAGGATTCAGTAAAATAGGTAAATTAATAAAGAGCCAAAACAAAACAATCCTTATGGAAGAATTTGTAGGCTAATAATAGAATAGGCTGTAACACTGTAAGATATGCATAACTCCTCTATCAGTAAGTCTACTAGCTCAGGCCTTGACTATCACAACACACATTTCTTTCAAGGAAATTTGAAAGGGAAAATAAACTTAAACTGTTTTGAAGAGAACCTGAGCACATCACAGTGGAGGATGCTCACAGAATAATTAGCATATACAACCTGTTAGGGGCAGCAGTTGAACTAGTCACTAATGAATAGTCCCATAATCTCTTCCTGGGTTAGATTAGAAGGACACCATTAACATCCAGTCATCAGCGCGGACATCTGACGCTTGAAAGAAGACCTATCCAACCAGTAATCATCCCTTTGGCTCCTTTTATAATTAAGGCTCTATCAAAGTTGACTTTCATCCATTATGTGTGGCTTCCTCAGCAAGCAGAGCAAGGATTTACTAAGCAGCACAGCATGTCAGGTGATTTTGGCTATAGTCTGTTGCAGTTATATTGGCGAATGGAGTGGGTCCTTAAAGAGGCTACACCCACCTGCACAAAAGAGATGTTCAGACATTCTCAGTAATGAGGTCTTACAAAGCTTGACACTCAGCGTGTTGATGGCTGACGGCATTGCGTTAATTGGGGATCAATAATCTTTACAACACAACCTACTGGGACTGCTCTAGAGCAGATTTTGGTTATTTCCTAGGCCTGTATCAAATCTTTATTAAAGAAACGATTTGATCAAAATATTAAGAAAAAATATTTTGAAACAGTTTATTTTTATTTATTAGTTCAAAATGAGTTCACACGGTAGACAAATCAAAACAATAAAAGCTGTACATAGTGTCAATAGAACTTTTATCATTATTATTACCAGTCTATTACCAAAAGGTGCACAAACCACAGTGCCCTCAGAAATAAGGACAAAATACATTGAACCTTCATAAAGAAGTGTACATATTGGCATAGACAAAACTGTTAAAAATGCCATGTTTTCATCAGTCACCTACATTCAGGGTTAAAAGATATAAAGCAAAAATATTCCAGGGAAGGGTTTCAAGTTGTAGTTTTCTACCCATTAATGATTTGTTTGGGGACTTTTGTTTATTGTAAACAATGCATGTATAATCTTATGTAAATGTGTTTACTTCATGTCTCATGAAAGAAGACGTTCACATTTTTAATAATCAATAGTGAAAAAACTTCAGCTTTGGCAAATATTGAAAAATAATTTCCTGATGGCCAAAATCTATTACAAGCACTACAATGAGTAGCTGTATATAAAAAAGGCATACCTATGTATTGAAAATAAATTAACTATAAAATATATAATATATGAATTGTGTCCATGTCCAGACAAGAATATCATTACATAACATTGTATTTGTTTTGTTAGAAACCTGATGTAAAAATGCAGGGCAGCCATGTTGACAGCAGATGTCTTACACATATGTGATATACAGGTCTCTTTATACATCGCTTCAGCTGAGGAAACTGACATTCAAGTTTCATCTCTGGACAGCAGCCAGTACTAAACACAGACTTCCAGTTCTGGTCCTCACTCTTTCTATTGAGTGGTGCCCATAACAAACAGCAGAAGACTTGGGTGGAAGTTGTCCCCACCTCCCACAGAGTAGGTGATATTGAGCAGGTGATACAGAGCTGTATTCCAGTAGAGTCTGAATGAGGCCCTCAGCAGGAACAGTTCCCACAGCCCTTCACACTGTTCAGGATCTCCTCCTGCAGCTTCTTCCTCTCCTCTTCCTTTTGGGACAAGCGCTCTGCTGGTGCCTCTGGGCTGCTCTGGCTGCTGTTCAGAATTTTGCTGTTTTGAGTGTTCCACAAGTCTGCATACAAACTGTTGGGTGTACTGAGGAGGGCCTGGTGGGTGCCTCTCTCTGCCACTTTACCCTGGATTAAAATACAAAAGATTAAATCAGGTAAGAAAGACCACATGATAGACAGCCAGTTAGGGCAGCATAAATGATGACTGTTTTAGCCATCATCTCATACTGCGCAGTGCTGACCAAACTGCCGAGAAGTGTGCTCCCCTAGAAAGCTTACCGCCTCCCCAACAACTGTTGCATTTATCACCAAAATATGGCTCTCATACACAGACGCAAATTCACAGGCAGAAAACACACTTCCCTCCCACACAGTGCAACACAAATGAACCTGCCCCTTCCCCCACTTTACATGAGCGTGCAGAGGTGTTGGCACCATCTTTAGTACACCCAAGATGAGCATGTGACTCCTTCTGCTCGTTATTTTAATGAGCACCGCAGGCAGTCCTCTGCTGGTGACACTGGCAAACGCAACGGAGAGATGACACGCAAACATGCATTCACACCACACTCCTCTGATCCCTCCCATCTGACTGGAAAACCTGCAAGCACAAATGGACACTTGCTGCTGTTCTGAGGAAGAGCCCCATTCACTACAGGAGGGGAGATGTCACTTAATTTATGTTCAAAACTTTCACACTAGCCATTTATGCTTTATATGATCTTACAGCAACACAGCACCTTCACCTATTTATTTATAATCTTTTAAGGTTTCATAAAGCTCTCCTAAGTACCCCAGGGAAAAATATACAGTAAAGAAATATGTTGAAGATAAACATGTCAATTCAAAGGGACTATTCTTGTACACGGTTTCATTGGTATCTGGACGCTGGCCCATACTTTATTAGTCACAAATACAAATAAGACATGCCATCTGACCAAAACAGCTAGCTGGGTCTGACTGCTTTAATGAGCCCTTATGGAGAACATAATATGTACGTTTGGACCTGCGGCGTGCTGTTGCTGTGGACATTAATGAGAAAACGAAGCATGTTTCTCACGCACTTTGGAGGCAAACTGGAAATAATAGCCAAAAGCAGACACTCCATTCTCTGGTCATGCAGCTGTCAGATAGGGCATGGTGAGGTTCACACATAGGGGAAAATAATTTTCTTTTAAGCATATGCAACTAATTGAACTGCCAACTTCCATATTATTCACTTCTTTGAATGGTGATACTGCACTATTGCTGAATAGAAAAGGTCTCATGCGCTACAGGGACACCTTACCTGACTGAGCACGATGATCTCATCTGCATCTACAATGGTGGAAAGTCTGTGGGCAATGAACACTGAGGTTCTGTCCTTTACCATTGCCTTCATGGAAGTCAGAATGTTCTGAAAGAAGACAAACACAGTGTCAATGTCAAGCTTTAGAAGAGTATCAACTAATGCACAGAAAAATACTTTCTTGAGTCAGTAATAGACCCAAGGCTTAAGATGAAAAATGTAACATGAATGACAGAATAGATACGAAATATACTTGAAACGCCAGGTTGCTCAGCGACAGTACATTTCAGCTATTTTTTTTTACATTATAATGAAAAGTCAATACACTAATACATATTAACAATACTTCCAGTTAAATCATGCCTACCTTCAAATACACATTCAGTGCAATGATGTGAAACTCTGATTTTTTTTTCCCCCATTAAATATAACACTGACAGAGCAGCGGATTAAGGGGACAGGCAGGTGGAGGCAAACAAAAATGTTCATTGTTGAGCATGTCAGTGGTTTAACATATGTCCCAGCAGGCACAAGGCTCTGCAGCATCAGTGCACCTACAGCAGGTGATGAAGTGGTGCTTGTTTTTGTGAAAGTGCATGTGGCTACAAGAAGGTGGCATTAAGAACATGTTTAGTGAGTCATTGTTTTTTTTCCCCATACACACCTCTTCAGTTATGGAGTCAAGGGATGAGGTGGCTTCATCATACAAGAGAATGGGTGGATTTTTTAATATGGCACGAGCAATGGCAACACGTTGCTTCTCTCCTCCTAAAACAAACAGTTAACATTAGATTTGCGCTCACAACTGTCATGTTTAACAATGGAGGATCAGATATGTGATGGTAACTACAGAATGAATAAGCAATAAATAAAGTAGAGATCAAAATGACCGATCGCCTGTTCTAGGTACAATATGCCTTGTTTGTAATCTCATTTTTCAGAATGTAATGAACTGTGAAACCGCAGGTTTTATTGTTAGTTTAATTTTTAACGTTATAAACCTTTTATAGGCATAAGAGGTCAGATGACCTCTTGGTTGTGTTAATAATGATTACAATTAAAACCTATAATCTCCTGGCAGAGGCTTCTCTGAAATACCAGAAAGTAATTGGCATCACTTTGCCTTTGCTTTCATTTTGTTCACACTCCATATAAAGAAATCTGTGTTGCCAGTAATTGTGTCTTGAATGCTGAGTGAAAGTGTTCACAGTCAAATTTACGTGGGCTAAATGAGTTGAATGATAATTGCAGTCAAATACTACACAGCGTTCTGCATCCACAGCAGAAAAGATACTGCAGGCAAGTTAAGTGAAGAGGAAATAAGTGATACCTATGTCATATTTTACAGCTAAGATATAAAATGTGTTTATTTCTACGTGTTCTCAAATGTGTGTGGAGAACCTCTACGCTAGACTTCTTGCTTATTGTAATAATACAATTTTCTAAAATGCTACTAATAAATCAATCAATCATTGCATTACACACTGCAATTACGATGTGTTGTTTGTGCACAATCCCTGAAACACAGATGACAAAACACTACATTAAAGATACAATATTTAAACAGAAGCTAACCTGACAGCTTCAGGCCCCGCTCCCCAACCTGGGTGTCATAGCCATGGGGCATCTTGAGAACAGCGTCGTGGAGGCCTGCGAGACGTGCGACGTAGTACACATCCTCCGCTGTGGCGTTGATGTTCCCATACTGCAGGTTGTAGAAGATGGTGTTGTGGAAGAGCACGGCATCCTAAAGACAACAGTTAAAGAAAACTGAGCATTCAGAGCTTTTTTAGCAACTAAGACACAAATAGAGGACTGCAGATAAAGGCGGGTAGGAGGCAAAGACAAAAAGCAAATGACAAAAAAATATAGTTTGTGTACCATCTGTTCAGATAAGCCTGTGAGCCCACTGCAGTGAAAGCTTTGTTGTATGTGGATTCAGCTTGTATTAATGGTGTTCACATTTTTGGTGTTTATGTTTTCATAATTTAAAAATGATTTTAATATTTTTTTCAGTCAATGTCTCAGGTGCACAGAATATGTCTTTGTGAATGTGGTGCGTGACAAACCTGAGGTACAACCCCCAGAGTTTTCCTCAAACTGTCAAGGCTGACTTCTCGGATATTCTGCCCTGCGATGTAGATGTTCCCCTGCTGTGGCTCATAGAAGCGGAACAGCAGCCGCACAATGGTGCTCTTCCTGAAACATGGAAGAAATAATCAGCTTTGTCTCAGCCTCCAGATGATATCAGGTGATAACACTGGCTGCTTACACAAATGAGGCATAGCATGCTGATGGTTACCTACCCTGACCCACTGCCGCCAACTATAGCCACCTTTTTTCCAGCAGGCACATCAAAAGTCACTCCGTTTAACACTTTTTGGCCCTCCAAATATTCAAAGTAGACATCCTCAAAGCGAATGGTGGCCTCCTGTGGTGTGATGGCTAAGGCAGGGGCAAGATCCTTCTCCTAGGGCAAATCATCAGAGGGATTAGTCGATTGAGGCAGAAAGAAAGAAGAAGAGATATAGAAGAGCCATTGGCATAAGGGGCCTAGTATGATGCAACGATAGTCCAACACCTTGTAAGGGAGGTTACTGAACACAGAGCCTTCACTCACTCCGAATAGCTCTGGTCCTGAAAGCAAATGCAAAAGTGTCTTTTCAAAGGGCATGTGAATCTTACACATTGTCCTTGGTTGTCACTTGCAGTCAGCAGACACAAAGCGGTGCATACAATATCAAGCAATAGTGCAAACTGTTAGGAATGTAAAAATACCCAAATCAGAAGGGGAACTAACATAGTATTCACCTCACTGTACAATATTTTTTGAAATACTGCAGGAGCCAGAGAGTTAAAACTATTACTGGGCATTTCTTCATGTGGGATACAGTGAAAGAGCAAAGTAGGTTTGTTCCCTTTGCTTTTTAGAATTTTGCAGCAACAAAATGACTTGTAAGTGCTTTTTATGTATTATTCTGTAATAGTTCGAGAGACTTGACAAATGAGCATTGATTGAAAATATTCTTTTGTGTCAGTTTGGTTCAATAATGACACTGGAAATGGAGGACTGCTCTAGTCCATATGACAATCACAAAATATCACTGCCTTTACCGTAATTATTTTTTTTTACTTCTTCAACAATCAGTTGTTACAGCCCAATGACCACAGTTTCAGTAATTGTTAAGTATCAAGTAAAATTGCAATCAATGTGGCATCATTACATGATGTCCCAATTGTTTTTCAATTAAATTTTTTATATTGAAAATATATATTGACACATCTGTGTTTCAGTTTTCTTGTTTATGTATTTTTTTTGTAATTATTCATTATAATAATCACAGTGAATCACTTATTTCGATCTGCTGCAGAACCCTTGGTTCATGTGGCATATGTATTTAGTGTTTTGTGTCAGGTAACCATGTTTAATGTTTATGTTGTGGATGCAGAGGCGGTGGTTCACTTCTCAAACCTGTATTGCAAATGATCCTAGTGCTTCAAACTCTTTCAGAACACAGGTACAAACTATGGCACCAGTCAGAAAAGTGAATTCAGCTCCAATAGGTACAAATATGTGAGCTTCCTACCACCTGTATTTTGACCTCAGAGAAGTCTTGAAGCAGATGGTGAAGAAAGCATGTTCTAGTCAGAGTCTAGCCTTCAACCTTTGGTCAGCTACAATATGCTGTAAGCACATTTTTAGAATATGCATCTGACCTTATGGAGAGGTATAAAAAGTGAAACTTCACTGGTGTAGAAAAGAAGATGGTCACATAAGAAACTTCACCATATAATTCCACCTTTAGTAGGGGTGGACAATATAATGTGACAATATAAAATTAAATTGTGGTATATCAAACTAATGCCCCAAAGCAGGATATTTATTGGAGCTCTATGCTCAAGCACAGAGGCACATGCCATTTACTGTTCCCCACACATCCTCTTATTGGGCAACCTTAGTCCAGTCATCTTAATGATTTAACATGTGATATCTGAACTCTCAGGAGTAGAGGTTAGTTCAGTGAGAGAGTGTTCTGTGCTTTATAATCATTTGACTTCAGAAGATGATGAATGTAGCTAAGATAAAAAAATATTCCAAGATGCAACAAAATCATTCTCATAGAAACACAACCAGATCTATAGTTCTTTCAGGAAAATCTCAAAAAGTCCATCTTCTGCACTGTCTGACAAAGCAACAATGTGTTAAGAACAGAACAGAAATGTAAGCCTGGATGTGAACCCATGATCCAGATTTATAAAAGAGTCAGCAACAGATAAAGAAATGTGTGCTGGCATGTAATTACTCCCATTGTTTACAGAAGATATTTATGGCAAAAGCAAATTATTGGTTCCCCTGTTAAAACATGAGAGAAGACTATGTAACTATTGGAAAATGTCTGCATATAAAACACTGCATAAGTACTACAGTGAGAAAGAATCAAGGTTTTCTGAAGCTATGATTTCACATCATTTAAAACTCTATCAACAGATCATAACCCGAATCTTTTATACTTAAAAACTCTATTGAAAAGAGCACAGCTCACAAACAGTTTACCTTGATCTTGGTGTCAACGCTGAGCAGAGTGAAGAGCGTGTTCATGTCTATTAGCGCCTGCCTCGTCTCTCTATAAACTGTTCCCAGGAAGTTGAGCGGGAGAGAGAGCTGGAAGAGGAGGCCATTCACCATTACCAGGTCTCCCACTGTCATTGAGCCTAGAAAACAAGACAACATTTTACATGGATGACACACTCCCATCTATTGAAACTATAGCAGCTTTCTTTGGAGACTAAACCTAAAAAGTAAATACTGTTCATTCAAATGCAGACAAAAGCTGAAACTGTCCAAATCTTTTTCCACCTACTGTGATTTCATTTTCTGCATCAAGGCTATTTTATTTTCTATTCATGGCACTTTTTCATCCTTGCTGTGTTTTGTTCCCATTTAGTTTCAATTATTCAGTTCACTTAGGGGTTTACCTGCAGTTTTCTCATTGTCAGTCTGATGCTTGAGTACTGCATGTTTCTGCTTGTGTGTTTCTGTCACTGATCCCACGCATAAAAGAGTCACACAATCGTTTTGTTGATACACACTTTTATGAGTTCATGACGATTACCTTTAAAACTCAACAAACCCACAGCTTTCCCTTAAGACACTTGGAGCAGAAATAAGGTCCACTCACCTGCAGTAATGCCTTTGCTGGCTAACAACATAATGGCAGTGAGGCCGACACTGAAGATGGCGCTTTGGCCAAAGTTGAGCATGGCCAATGTCGACGTGGTTTTCAGAGAAGATGACTCGTAGATCTTTAGGAATGCATCGTACCTTTCAGCCTCATACTTCTCATTGTTGAAGTACTGCCGACAGGTCAGAGGAGAAAAGACACCAAGGGGAAAGTGAAAAAAAAAAATAGAAACATTGAACACACTCAGGAAGACTCTGACAAGCATTAAGGCAACATTCACTCGTAGTGACTGCTGTGGACAAAAACATGGGTCTAGGTTGGCTTATTATAAATGTTTTTGGTCCCAAAGTTTTTGTAGATCAGAAGTGCATTCTAAGTAATAGTACATTGGTATTTCACAAACATCTGTATTTACAATGCTTGTTGATAACAAGACAATCATGACTCTCTTGAGTGTTGTTCAACACAAGCCACACTAATTTGAATACAAAAAAATATAGCACATGTGTATTGGACACACCTCCTATGAATCAGCCATAAGCAGCACCTCTTTTCAAGGACAACACAAACTACAGCATCAAAACAACAGCTCTCTGTAATGCTGCTGCCAATTACCTAATGCTGATGTTTGTTTAGTTAGCACTATTGTTTTGCCACTATGGTTAAGTGGGCGATTTGCTTCTCCGGCTCATGGCTCTGGAGAAGTGCTACAACAGGCAACAGATACATTTGAATATAATGAAATGCAAGAATTTGACAAAAGAGAGGAAAAGTAGCACACGGAGGACAAGCTGAAGCAGGCACCGTGTTGTGTTCAGGTTCCCAGCCAGCTCTTTGTGAAAGTGGAACGGATTTCTGAGTGGGCGGAGATCTAATTACATATGCACACTCACATCCAGAGTGATGCTAAATCAGGCCGCATTGACACAGATGACACAAAACACGTTAAGAAAAACAAGCCAAAACATAATGCAGCCACAAAAAATACACAGACCTGATATGTGTATTGAAATGTATCATGAGATAAAAATAACTTTGTAACTTATGTAAGTCCTCTCCAAACTTAGGATAGGTTTGACTTAAAAAATAAGTTTCCATTTATATTGCATTACACTGGTTTCTACATGTCAATGCACAGACATGCTTCAGTGCCAAAATAAAACACCTGTTTCAACTGATTCCCATGTTAGATGTAGTTATAAAAAGTCACATTTTACTGCAAAAGGACCAGGGACAGTAACCCAAATGTCTATACATTTGTAACAAACTGTTTTTGCCATACTTGGAATCAAATCAGGTAAGCTATATGAAAAATGAAAGCCTAATGTTCAGATTTAATTTTAGCATGACTTATCAAGAAAATGTGCACTGAAAGTAGCATTGGTTTACCTTGACAGTCTCATAGTTAAGAAGGGAGTCAATTGCAGCATTTCCAGCATCATTGTCTGCTTTGTTCATTTCTATACGGAATCTTGTCCTTTGAAAAAACAGACAAAGTAAACATATATTGTCATTCAATCAATAGTGTATCTGCACAGTCATCCTCAAATATGAACTAATTGATATGGTTACTGTTACCTCCACTGGGTGACGAGAATAGTGAACAAAGTGTACGCTGATAAAGTCCCCAAGGCTACTGCAGCAAACTGTCCACCACATTTGTAATACTGTGGAGAGAAATCTCAGTCAGCGTCACTCACATGCTCAAAGTGACTTTTGCACACATCAGAGCACTGAGCCTTGACATCAGTATCACAAGGCCATTTGAAAATGTTTTGACCATTCCTCTATTAAATTGAGTGTTACAAATGGAGAAAAAAAATCAAGGAACTAATCATGCTAATACTCAGGCTATTTAGGCAATGAAGTCTGTCCTCGTTACAGGCAAGATGACATTATGGCTTAGACTGGAATTCTAGCACAGAGCTATAAATGGACTTCTTTCACTGGTGAAGTTAAGGAGCAGCTCTCCAGGCCAAACATACATTTCAAACGTATACAGACTTATGTAATAAAGACAATTTAACATAATCAGTCAGTGTGCCTCGGGTTTGTACCTTGCCCATTTTTACAGTAAAAGCCCCATTCTGCTTAGATAGATTTCAAATATTCGTCTACTTTGTTAATATGCACTAATGCACTCTATACTGTGCAGGGTTAACATTCTGAGAATTAAAATTTATGTTAAACAAAAATTAAATAAATAAATCTCTAATTGACTCATAAGATCACAGAGCAAGAACACTGATAGCTAACAAAATATTTTATTAGACAAAATTAGTCCTATAAAGCCTGTGTATAAATTCAATAACAACCCTGTTTATTATACTGGTAAATTTTACCTTTAGAGAAAGTATAACCTAACAATTATTTATTAGTAGTATTTTTTCACTGTAGAATAGGGTGTTTTTGCTTTATTTTGAATATGAGTTAATATAATGTATTTTATATTATTGCAATTGAATAGGACAATAAGTGAAACCATGATTATGAATTCAATTCATTGCACAGCCCTACCTAGAAGTGACTACAATTTGATGTTGTGAATTCACCACTGTAGTCCAAGTACACTAGAGTGTGATTTTTTTTTTTTCTTTTTTATTGTGTGCATTCAGTTGTTTCTCATTTGTTTAACTTACAAGAATGGCACTGACGAGACCCATCTCAAACACTGTAGGTCCTAAATTAAAGACCAGAGCGCTGAGGACAAAGGAGATGCCCCTCGTGCCACGGTCGATGGCTTTGGACAGCGCACCCGTCTGGCGGCTCAGATGAAAACCAAGGTCGAGATTGTGCAGGTGAAGGAAGACGTTCTTAGCAATTCTGCGGATTGAGCTCTGGGCCACTTTGCCGAACACAGTGTTCCTCAGCTCATTGAAGAGGGCCGCACAGGCCCGTGACGCACCATCTGGGAGAGTGAAGAAACAGACACTTTAGCACACCTGCTGTGAAAGGCAGGGATGATCCAACAGGGACTGGTGCTATCAAGACTAAATCTATCTTCACTGAGAAATGTTAGCGAGCACTCAAGGGTGAAGTGTGTTTTGACCTGTCCCTTTCTGTGTTTATCCAAGACAAATGGAAAAAGTTGAGGCACTTCAATCTTGATCAGGCCTAAAGTAAGAGGTTTTTTCTCATATTGTGTCTATAGGCCCTGTTGAGCTGGAGCAGTAGCCTCGACTCGCCTCTGTAATTACAGAGATGGACGCCATCTATAACTTATGACACTACAGTGCTCCACAAAAGGAAGAAAAGCACACACAAACATACTGCACGTGGGTCAAGTGTGCGCAGAATTATATTAAAACTACACATAACAAAAGAATAACAGAATCAGCCCCATCAGGTCTGAATCAACTCTAAACCAGTACTTTCCAAAAAGGTAAAAACTGCATGTCAAATGTTTTAGCAAATGTATCCCTCCTGGTACAGTTTTCACCTGTGTGAATAATGTGCCGAGACCAAAGTGGGTTAGTAATTGTTCTGTCTGTCGATCTTCATGGGTCTGTAATGTGGCGTTAAATGGGAAAGCTCATCTAATGAACAACGTGTCCACATCTGACAAGGAAGGATGAGCACAGCACAAGCTTTGCAGACAAATTACACATTTCCCAGCTTGTATATCATGTCCTGAGCATGGCACGCAAATTAACACAAAAATAAAACTCCTTTCAGTAAGTGTTTCCTCCTTTTTCACTACAGCCATTCAGTCTACCTTGAGTTCTGTTGATGTGCTCCAGTTATTTCACAAGAGCATTAGTGTGCCAGACCTAACAGGCTCATTAAAATAAGTGGCTGCAAAGCTTAGTATATTGCAACTGACTGGTCACAAAGACTTGCAGTAGATGCTAGGTCCACTGCATTTATTTATTTCTCTTTTCAATACAATCTCACACTCACACTACATCGCACCTTTGTCTTGCATTCAAGAACTGGAACAAATTAATCCAAAAATATAGATCATGCCCAAACAATTTAAATTTAACTTGTGGGTCATTCCATTTCATCAAATTTACAGAAAATCTCGTGCATCATGTTTTTTAAAAGTTTAGAAAAAATACCAGCTGGTCCCTTACTAGCATGTACCAACCCTGTGAAATTTTAGTCACTTTCAATCAATACTTTTTAAGTTACAGCTCATATAGTGTCAATAGTGTGGGAGTATGTGTCAATTTAATGACCCAAAATCACGAAATTTTTTTCTCGGCCGTTTTCACAGGTCGATATCTCCTTAAGTATCATATATAGAGGGCTGATATTTTGTAGGCTTGTACTCCTCTACTCTGCATTCAAATAACTGCTATCGAAAGCTTGGTATCTCAACTCATTTTCATTTTATATGAACTTAAAAATGAAAAAAAAAAAAAAAAAACGTGTTCCTTTCCGTGGCATACAATTTTTAGCCCCTTTTTAAACCTACTCGTAGGTGTAGTAGACCTTTAAATTTTTTTGAGAATCAAGATATGTACTAGGACTGTTAAAAAAAATATCACCAAATGTTGAAAATTTGAAATAGGTTATGTGTGAGAGTCCTGTTAAAAACAAGAAAACATAACATAGTCCGATGTCCACATATAATTTATGGCATGTGTGTAGTGATACAGATTTTTTAAATTATTTTTATTTGAAAGACCAGAAAAAGACCTTTCATATGGTACCAAACACATGTATTTTATGAAGCTCCTTCAATTTTTAATTGTATCTTGAACATTCACATTTGACACAATGACACAAATATACAGTGACCGTGTACTATGTTTTATTCCAGCAGCTAAAGCTCCCAAACATGAAGAATCAACAAGCATGAATCAACAGGATGTGTTACAAGACATCTTAAAAACCCAGAACCCAGAACATGTATGTCTTATTCATCATCAGTATCTTCATAAACCCAGTCGGTCCCAAAGCTTTTGGATTTTCTGGCCGAGGTCACGGCAGCATGGACAGTCCTCACAAGCTTGACCACCAGATTTCTCCTCAACCTGTGGAGGCTTTTTCATCCCTGGTGGACTGGTTTTAGTTGGTTCAGTTGACCATGTTGACTGCGGTGTGGCCTTGTAACTTTAGTCAGACGCTTTGTCATCTGTGCACTACATACATTTTTTGGGAGTAGGCTCTTGGTCCTGTGGTGATCCAAACATGTACTGGCTCTCTTAAAATATATATTAAAAAAAATTGCATTTGGAACTATATACAGTCCCTGACAAAAGTCTTGTCGCTTATCCATTTTGTAGAAACAAAAGCTTATAACCTGACGTTAAATTAATCAATTGATTTTAGAAATGTCTCATATGAAAGCTAAAACCCTCCCAAATTATGCTCAATATACTAAAATAAATTTGCTTCACTGAAGAAAGATTGATCATTTAATGAACACAGAAAGGTCAGATTTTGGAAGACAAAAGTTTTGCGATGGAGTATGCGATGGAGCACCATCCTGCTGCAAAATTTGACCCCTTTTATGTTTGGGAATGTAAGAGGTAGCTAATACTTCTTGATATTTTAGGCTATTGATATTGCCTTCCACCCTGTAAATGTCTCGCACCCCCCCATACTGGATGTAACCCCAGACCATGAGTTTTCCGCCACCAAACTTAACTGTTTTCTGGGTGAATCTTGGATCCATGCTGGCTCCAGTAGGTCTCCTGCAATATTTGCAGCGGCTGTGATGTAATTCAACCGAGAATTCATCTGAGAAATCCACCTTCTGCCACTTTTCCAGTGTCCATCCTTTTAGCAGGCTGTGGGCCTTGGCAAATGCCACACGTTTTTTTAATTGCCTTTTGTTTAGTGCTGGTTTCTGTGCACTGATTCGACATTGGAGGCCATTTCGAGACAGAATTCTACAAACTGTTCTGGTTGACACAGTGACTTGAGGTGACCAGGCCTGGTGGAGCTCTGCTGCAGTGGAAAAGGTGCTGGCCTTGGATTTTTGAATCAACAAACCGTCCTCCTGAGCAGTTGTCTTGTGGGGTCTGCCGGACCTGGGCTTGTCAAAAACATCTCCAGTCATTTCAGATCTTTTTCTTATTCTTTGTACTTGACGCTGAGACACATTGAAGGTGTCACCACCTCAGCAGTGGATCTGGTCTTCAGCCTCTTGATAATTAACGCTTTGGTCTCAGGGTGGATCTTAGGCATGTTGTCAGAGGTCAAGTTGCAGTTGATGTGAAGGTCTGGTGTGCTGGGGTTCTTTTTATACACACCCACTAATTGATTGATCAGTAACTGATCACAGGTGAGGCTGTAATCTAGGATTGGGTGCATCATATGACAAGGGGAGAAGACTTTTGTCTTGCCAAAATCTGACCTTTCTGTGTTCATTAAATGATCAATCTTTCTTCAGTGAAGCAAATTTATTTTAGTATATTGAGCATAATTTGTGAGGGTTTTAGCTTTCATATGAGACATTTCTAAAACCAATCGATTAATTTAAAGTCAGATTATAAGTTTTTGTTTCTACAAAATGGATAAGCGACAAGACTTTTGTCAGGGACTGTATGTTCACCCCAGAATAAAGATGAATATGATTTTTTATATGCGATAAATTCCAACAAATCCTCAGCACTTTCCATTTAAGGCTCCATAGGACTTTCTTTACCTGCTCAGGTGATCCGAACAGGATAGGGAACTGTTTCCTCACTTCTTGGCTGCTTCCCAATGTTTGAGTTCCTTGCGCACCAAAATCTATTGTAATGTTTGCATAGTCTTGAACATCAATGTGCTGTCCACAACTAACAGAAGACAATATCATATTGTTGAACATGACCTGATTGTTTCTTTAATATGAGAAAAATCTACAGCTGTTTTCTCGGATGTCACATAACTTGTCAGATACTTTGTCACATCAAAATGATTATCAAACCATTTGATTCAGTCTTTAAATGTTTAGTGACCTTAGCTGCTGGAATAAAACATAGTGCATGGTCATTGTATATCATGTCATTGTGTCTTGCACTGTGACCAAAACCTCAAATGTGAATGTTCGCGATACAATTAAAAATTGAAGGAGCTTCATAAAATACATGTTTGGTACCATATGGAAGGTCTTTTTCTGGTCTTTCAAATAAAAATTATTCAAAATTTTTTTTATCACTACCCACATTCCATAAATTACATGTGAAAATCAGACCATGTTACATTTTCTTGTTTTTAACGACCCTCACACATAACCTATTTAAAATTTACAAGATTTGGTAATTTTTTTAACAGTCCTAGTACATATCTTGATTCTCCAAAAAAAAATTTAAGGGTCTACTACAACTACACGTAGGTTTGAAAAGGGGCTAAAAATGGTACGCCACGGAAATGAACAAGTTTTTTTCATTTTTAAGTTCATATAAAATGATAATGAGTTGAGATACTAAACTTTCGATAGATGTTATTTGAACACAGAGTAGAGGACTACAAGCCTACAAAATTTCAGCCCTCTATGTGAGATATCGACCTGTGAAAACAGTCGAGAAAAAATGATGCTATTTTGGGCCCGTAAATTGACCCCCCTTACTAAATGAGCTGTGACTTAAAAAGTATTGATCGAAAATCACTAAAACTTCACAGGGTTGGTGCATGATAGTAAGGGACTATAATTTTTTCAAAATTTTTTGAGATCGAAGTGTGTGGGCCATTTGTTGAAATGGCGTGGAATGACCCTTGTACATTAGCAATAGGGCAGCATAATATGTTGCAGTTAAATTGAAATTTCACTTTCTGAGTCGAGGTAATTATCAAATCACAGAGGCTGCAATTATCTAGATAATGAAAATATATCATTTCTTTTTTTACTGAACTAGTTGTACCTGTAGTTTAGTGAGACCTCTACAAACATGTTCTGAAATTCAAATTCATGGGATGTTTGCATTAGTTTACCAGTTCTTCTCTCAAATGGTACTGTCCCTGTTTTTTTTTACAATGTAAAACTGAGTACCACTTCTTAAACCTTTATCACAACAACATCTACCCACAATTGCAATTATAAAATTCATCTTTCTTCAAGACCTAGTGCAGACCTATTTATAGCAATTTCTTCCTTAGCATTTGAGTACTGTATAAGAACTGCTGACCTTGTGAGGGAAAAAAAACAACTCATAACAAGGTTGTCGGGATGAACGCCAGTAAACTGCAACTCAGAAGATCACAATGTAAATACTGGGACAAGGGAAAGAGCATTGATATGAATGTTTGCAAAGGTCAGAGTGTTGATAATAGGGAGGTCCTCGGTCCCCTTGTGAGAAGAGCCGAAGCGGCAAGTGTGGGGCATGTCTGGGACTCACAGCCAATCAGCACGGCCGTTGCCATGGTAGCCACCGTGCTTGGCGCGTCATTCAGGTTCAGCATGTGTCCCGACATCTGGTTTAGCTCGTCCACTGCATACTTAAACATGAAGGGCACCATCACATTGGTGAGCTGGGAGGGCACAGAGACAGAGGGGGAGAGGGAGCATATTAGTCAGGCATATGCTCAATAAACCCAAGTGTCATTTTCCTAGCTCCCTGTAGAGTCACTTCAACAGATAGATCCAAATTGTGTTTTGTGTTAACACTGCAGTCTGCATGAACAAAAAATTATCTTTTTTTTTTTTTAAATTTCTTTTGTTTGTAGCTTATTGCTTGCACGTTTTGTGTGTATATTATTGTTACTGGCTTTTGGGCTGTGGGTGCGGAGCTAGTGCTTCCTGCTAATGGAATTGAAATGGTTATTAGGGCTAATTAAAAGCGCAGGGACAGCTGTGTGAGTCAGGCGAGTCCACTGCACATTAGGACAGCTAGCAGACAGCAGCTCACAGCTACAAGTTTCCATTTGAAACACATTTCAGATGAAGCTCTCAACCCCACACAGTGCAGGGCCTTTGTTAAGTTTTCAGATTTGTTTCAGGTCATTAGCAAAAAATTATTTTGTAAAATATGAACGATATCAGGGCATCTACCACAGAAGTACCAGCATAGAGAATTATGGCACATGCACAATGTGAAATAACTTTTTGGCTTTTATCCGGTATGTGCTTGCTAGACATAACGGACACATACAAGTTCATCCAGATCCAATGATTACAAGGCCGGACAACATTTATTCATCAAGACCATTTCTTTTATCCTGCATATTCAACTGCAGTGCACATGTTCCTTTCTCTATAGTTGATATCATACACATTATCATTATAAATGCCATTCTTAGTCAAATACAATGCAAAACCATGTGTCATTTTCCAATCATAAGAAACTAACTAACTTAAACTAACTATCACAATCAAGAAGCAGGTATTCGGTAATTGAAATTAAAATGTCACTGATTGTATGGAGTGCAGAGGTGAGTGGGACAGTAACTATGCAATTACTCAGTTGATTTAAAAATTGCCTCTACTATGCTGGAGATCTCAGTTCAAACCAACAAAGTAGAGAAATTGAGGCTAACTCCAGCCATGCAAGAAAATGGAAGGAGAAGATTGGATTGCATACGTGTTTTCTCCTCTTTTGTGCACACTGGAGGGAGCCATGCTGAGCAGCAGCAGGCCACACTACTTATTTAGGAGCTGTGAATTTGTGATTGTTTTCCAGGGTGTAAATTAGAGACCATCAACAAAGGAGCAGGAAAAACATCACTTACTGATAGATGTGTGCAAGAAGTATAAGAAAAAACAATTAAGCATTCTTTGTTTTTTATCCCAAAAAAATTTACCGACAGTTTTAGCTTAGTCATGATGAGTGGGATAAAAGTGTTTTTTAGTTTTTGCCTCTTAGGTTTAGATGTAAAATGTTAAAAATATTTCAAAGGAAAGTACCTTAGCTCCAGCAAGAAGACTCAGTGAGATTGCAACACGTGCCCTTAGGTCTGGTCTATCTTTTGGCCACACATATGACAGCATTGCAGATAGAATTGTTGCTGAATTTACCTCCTTCAGCTGTCAAAGAAGAAAAAAACAACATTATTTACACAGTTTAAAAGCATATCTAGATAAAGAGAATGTAACAGAACCTTTATTTGTCCAAATACAGTTCGGTCTTAGTATTACCTTACATTTGAAGCATTTATTTATTGGAAAATGCTTTACTAAAATTTTCCTCCAAAAAGCAATAGAAAATTTTAAATAAATCTAGACAGACACATGAAAATCAAATATAAATAGAAGCCCCATGAGAAATTGCAACAGTGGAGTCTCCAGGTGGACTTGGGGATCCAAACTGACACTACAAGTCCCAAGAGGGGCCTGGACTGTCATCCCAGCTGAGGCTGCCAACACGGCTGTTTACTCTCACTCCTCTACACACCTGCTACTGTGGCTCGATGCAGGCCAAAAAATATGCAGTAATTCCTCTAATCCGCTCAATATGGTAGGACCACGTTATATGGCACTACCTCCAAGCAAATTACAGAGAAAATGTGCCCAACACCTGTCTTTAATCAAATACAATCAAGCAACACAGGAGAAAGGTGTATTAACAGTTAATCCCATGTAAAAATCTAGTATATGAAATTAAAGTGCTTTCCCTTAATTTACATGTTGTCAACAAATAAACACACACACTAAATGTTATAATTGTTAAAGCATTAGCACAAAAAATGAATGAAATACACCAGAAAATGCTTTCTAATGTAACAATACTTTAGTACTGATAGATACTTAAAATAAGATCATCTGACAGGTTTGTACCATTTAAAGTTTTAAACTGTCTATAAAACATTTTTTTAAACTCTGCAAACAGATAAGTGTGTTTGACTTTGTGTAAACACCACACAATATACACTTTCTATGGTAAGGGACATTTTATTTGGTTCAGGAAAACATACAGCTACTAAACTTGAAGAGAAAATTATATAATTATTACTTTTACTCACCACATTCTTTGGGTCTGCACTCAACCCTCCTCCTGCATGTCCATGCCAGCATGATCTTTTGTCTATTTTTTGCAAATGCTGTAAAACATCAAGGTATTTAGAGCCAATTGTAAGTTATATCTACTCTTCTATGTATACAGTATGCTGCTGACCCTGGCTGCCTCCAAGATCTGCCGACTGTTTCCACATCTGTTTGAACTGCATGCTGCTGTTCTTTGGTTAGTGGCACCCAACTATAACACAGAACACATAGTTAATCATTAAGCTAAATGAATAATCAAGTAAAGTTTAGTGAACTTTATAGCGTTAAAATGATTAACATGTGGAAAATAAGCAGAACATTAACAGTGTAACAGATGAAGAAGAAATGTGAACCACTAAATAAAGATATATATATATATTTATTTATATTTATATTTTTTTTTTTTTTTGTTTTGAGAATCTCAAAATTGTGTTCATAGCCCGCGATGAAGGGTGGGACCAGGACCCCTAGGACCCTTATCTAACTATTCAGGAGTGACAGAAGTTTGGCTGGTGCTGAATGATGTAAAGCACGTGACAGATAACGCAGACAACCACACAGCTTGTAGGCTAACAACAGTTTATATATATTCTACAAAATGTGTGGAAAAAAAGTAAAGAAATTTGAATAAACTTTTTGTGCAAGTGAAAAAGTATTAAAAATGCAGCGTTAAATATTGCTGACATCAAATGGTAAACCTAATACTGCTCAATGTGATCTGCTGAGCAACTTAATTAAAGCAAGTTAATAAAATGATGATGACATCGAAAATCGTGTACAATATAGGTCAACATAGTTCATAAAGATCCCAAATATCTTTAAGAGACAACATATCTTAATTAAGTAACTCCGAACACGTCCTTTCCTGTAAAACGTTGCCAAAAACACAATGTCCTTTAAAAAGTATTACACTTTAACTTACTAGATATGTATGTTGATGTTTATGATCCCCGCTGTTTTCATTTCGACTTCTATTCCAGACATGATATGAGCTAGTTTGTCGAAGAATACACGCCAATTTTCGTCTTTGAAAGTAAAATCCGCATTTTAGAGAGACCAACATCGGCGCCATGTTTCTGATCAGGAAGGCGGCCAGTGGGCACGCCGGTAACGTCATATCCGGTGTACAACGACGCTGACAGCTAGCATAGAAGCAGGGTTGATTATTTATTTTTTAAAGGAAATGTTTGTCTGATTTTTGTTATTCTTCAACCGAATCAACAATTGTAAACTTTTTGATAGAAATAATACATTTTTGGACGTCTGGGAGATAAGGTTTGGGCACACATCGAAGCCAAAGGAAGAACACGTTGTCTGACAGGCTGGTGCTTCTTTTTGTTGGGAGTTTAGCCCAAGTGCGCGCGTCTCTCGGCCGACTCTGTCAAGTACCTCAGGATGCCATGCCATAACCAGCAAGTGAATAATGTCAGCAGTGGCCAAGAACTCCCAATGAAGCAAGTACGATTCGCAAATAGCACCAACAATGTGCCCGGAATATTGTCGGACAACGACTCAAGTAATGTGACAATACAACCCGTCAATAATCAAGACAACCTTGGACCTCAACTAAAGCTGTTGCCTCTGAATGACCAGATCCGAGAGTTACAGACCATTATCAGAGACAAGTGAGTCCTTACGTTTCTTATTTTACCCACAGACTACAACAAAGATAACCCGATTGACCCTTGTTGACCTTATAAACGGCTGTGACATATTAGCACATCATATAAGCATATAGATTCATCACGTTTCACATATATATAATCAATATATCGCCTGTTTTTGTTATTACAGTGCATAGCGTTGTGATAAACATCAACATGTATGTATGTATAATAAATGCCATATAACACTCACAAAAAATGTGTATTGTGCTTTATGCTTTCAGGACCACCAGCAGAGGAGATTTTGTGTTTAGTGCAGACAGATTGGTAAGATTAGAACTCATCAAAACTCTCCTAAACACAATTTCATAAACCAGTGTATAGAGACTGAAGGCAAAGAAGGGGAAATGTCCTGCCCAAGTACACAACAACAGTATGCACTTGGCATAGCTGTGATAAAAACGCATCTGCCAGTTTTCAGATTGGGGGCGAGTGCTCTACCACTGAACCAATGCAACCATGCCTAGAATTCTTTGACCTTATTGTCAAATACACATACAGCATAAAAAAACTACTAGGGAGACCAATTGTATCACAATAATAATTATGTTGCAGACATTTAGTTGGACCAGGAATTAATTTGCTTTAATAGTCTGATGTTTGACCTCAGATTAGACTTGTTGTTGAAGAGGGTTTAAACCAGCTGCCCTATTCGGAGTGCACGGTTACAACACCTACAGGTATGATGGATGACTTCAGAGAAAAGGCTGCAGAATAGCTTATTTGTGGGTTTTGTTTGTTGTTTATTCCTTCTTTGTTTTTTCTTCAGGGTACAAGTATGAAGGTGTGAAGTTTGAGAGAGGCAATTGTGGTGTCAGTATCATGAGAAGTGGTAAGTCATATCTACCCATACCCATGAATTATGAAGCCAGTTTATTTTTAAAGCACAATTTACACACAAGTCACTCAAATGACTTATAATATTATATAATAATATATTATAATAACAGATTTTGACCCAACAAAATTCACTAATATAATTACTTAAAAGTAAATTGATTTATATTAGACAAGACAATGGAAGATTTAAAAAAAATGTCCAATGTACTGCTAGACTTAATTGTTTAAAGTCTTGAAGACTATCTGAAACAGAAATTTAAGTAAGTGGGTTATGCAGTATTGGCCATTTTTGGTGTAAAACACAGTTGTTTGTGAATTACATCTGTTAACATTTATTTTGTTCTTCATAGGTGAGGCTATGGAGCAGGGTCTCAGGGACTGTTGCCGCTCAATACGAATCGGCAAAATCCTTATCCAAAGTGATGAGGAAACACAGAAGGCCAAGGTCTATTATGCCAAGTTTCCCCCTGATGTTTACAGGAGGAAAGTGCTGCTCATGTATCCCATTCTTAGTAAGTACAGTACATAGAGATGCACACTTGCTGTCATGTACCAATCCAAGTTTATCACCCTATTTCTCAGTAAATGTCATAGGATGCTCAAAATTGTTCACTGCTTCTAGCAGAGAAGTTTCTCTTGAACTGACCTTCAGTGCGAGTCTGCATTTCCACATCATACCAATTCACACTGTTCTGATAATTATAGCTCTTAGGACAAAATTATATACTGCCTCGGAGATAGCCACCAAGCTACTGAATAGCATAATAAGGGCCAACAAAAATAGTATCTTAATAGCCTTGGTTTCCCAGTAGCAAAAAGTAACATTTTCAGTTTTTTATGATGCCATATGATCAAGTTTTGAAGTATGTTTTAAAATGTCATAAAGCCAAAGCATATAGTCATACTGATACTTGTAACAGGCTTGGAAATGAGAGCCTGCCAAGGCTCATAGTTATATCTTTCTATCATTATGTTTGGTTCTTTCAGTATATTGTAAGAAACACATCTCAAGTTTAAAATTACATAGTTTTCTTGGTAATTCGAGATTGTTTGTGCCTGCAGGTACTGGAAACACCGTGATTGAAGCGGTGAGAGTGTTGCTAGAACATGGTGTCCAACCTCGCCATATTATCCTCCTCAGTCTCTTCTCTACACCTCATGGTAAACCCCGACTACATCTCTTTTCATTTATATTTTATAGCCTTACCCTCCTTTGTCATAACATTAAGATGAAGGCACTTATTTTATCTATATAATTTGCATTGAACATTTTGAAATTCGCTACACACACAGAACGCTTTACAAGTGTAAAAAATGAAGCAACACCACCAGGAACTAGTCCTCACTTGTCCATCTTGACAACATGAATCTCAGTAGAAAATTACAGAATCACTCCATACTTAAATCAACTCGTGCATCTTTTCCAACTTTATAGGAGCCAAATCAATCATTCAGGAGTTTCCGGACATCACCATCCTCACCACGGAGGTCCACCCAGTGGCTCCCACACACTTTGGGCAGCGATATTTTGGCACAGATTAAGGAGGTTTGAGCCTATCACAAACTTAAGGGACATGATCTTATTTTATTTTTTGTCTTGTTTATTTAAATATTCTAAGTCAGGGGTGGGCAAACTTTTTGACTCGAGGGCCACAAAGGGTTCTAAAATTTGATGGAAGGGCCGAACCAAGAGCAGATGGATGGAGTTTTTTGGCAATCCACCTCATAAGAGAAAAAAATAACATGGGATATGTAGAAACTATGTCCCATGTTATTAAAATATCCCATAATTGAAAATCATTACAAAGCTCTACAACAAAATATCTGTCTTTCAAGTCCCACGGTATTTATTATTTATTGAAATGAGTGTGAAAAACACTGAAAATTATTATTATTGTTGTTCTTGAAGGTCGGTGGGCCGGATTAAGAAGATTAAAGGGCCACATATGGCCCCCGGGCCGTAGTTTGCCCACCCCTGTTCTAAGTGTTTCCTCTTGTTTTGCCAAATACTTACACTCTCCAAAGTATGCAATATCAGGCAGAATTGAGTTGTATTTTAAGTGTAATCTGTGTTTTTGCATTGTTCTTAACTATAAAAAGTTTGACAATGGATCATTTTATTTTGCATGTTACAACACAGATCAATTGATAAAGGCTTTATATTTGTCAAATGGCATATAAACAAAGTTAATTAATATGGACCTTTGCTGCAGTTGATTTTTTGAGAGGCATGATGGCATATTTTACTGAATGCAAGGATTTAACAGGACAAATAACATTAGATACAATAAATATGATCACTAGTGTCATTTCGCCAAGGCTGGTGAGCATCAAGATATACAAACACTGCCAGCACCAGGTAATACGGTGAATCTGTAAACCTAAAAAAGTTCCACATTTAAACAATAGAAACAAAATAACATACACCTAAACCTTAGCATTCTACATTTTCCAATACTGCTGTCCCACCTTTTATAAGAACACAGCAATAATAATAAATATGTTGCTGTCTATATTTTAGTATATAAGCAGCATTTAACTTGGCTTACACAAAAATGTTTACAGAATAAAGCACAAAAACATGACATCAAAACACCATCCAAACAAAGGCCCAACACTTTGTACACACATTTTAGTGCACTGTCAGCACTTAAGAGTAGTCAAGTTTAGACAGCTTGAATAATAAGATGTTATTTCTAGCATTTAAAAAAGTCATACAAACAAAGTAAAAAACATTGCAGAATACTGATCTCTACCAACCAGCGGATGAGGATCAGTTGCTTCATCTACAATATTTACAGGTACCTGCATATTTAATTAATCCTTAAAAATAAAACTGAAAATACAATACACATACAATAATGATTTAATCTTTCTTATTGGGAAGGTGCACTGGATTTATGCCAGTAGTTCCCACAAAACACATTTTCATATTAAGTAGCAAACTACATGATATGTTAGGATATGCAGATACTTTGAATAAACAGTAATTTACCAATTATGTTTTGGATACATTCTTTGGGTCCATTTGAGAGCAGAATTCAGCAGAAATAGTCAAGATTAAATGGTTCTTTTAAAATCCAAGTAGTGGTATAAATATAAGACAAAAACAAAATTGTAACAAAAAACAAACAAAACAAAAAAAAAACACATAAAATGACCTCAGTCTGTAACAAAAATGCTGACCTATACTACCATTGTTTTCCACACTCATCAGGTACAGGTCAAGTTATAGGGTGTAACATTGTACACTCCTACAGACAACTCAACACCTCAGTGTCAAAAAACAGATTAGTGCCAAGACGGAAGCTCTTCAATTCACAGCAAGTCATCTGACAGAAGATGACACATTGGAAATACGGAGCTGGGAGTACACAAACTCAACCTCAATACTGATTATCCTATTACACTGAGATTATAGGATACATTTTATATTTCAGATATCTCAATTAATATGACCCATAGGCGCATGGATCGCCAGGTTTGGCCCCCTTCATGTATTTCATTAAAATTTGACTAGAATAAATCTACAACAAAAGAGTTTAGGAGATGATCACTTTAAAATAGTTCTTGTTAGTAAGTACTACTCCTCCATCTCAATGGTAACTGATGGGTCGTGCTCTCCCACTGAAAAGGAGAAAAATAAGAAGCAGCATTTAGCACTGAAAAGGATAACTGCAAGTCTAGCATTAAACCACTAGGTGGTAGTAGAATGCTAAAAGTCTGACAGTGTACAATTCAACCCCAATTTACGTGAGAGAATACAATTAACCACAAAAGACATTTATACAATGAATAGATATTACAGAAAATTCAACACCGTTTGGATTTTTTATATTATATTATATTTTTCAGTAAACACTGTATGTGGTTTCACAATTGCAGAAATTAACAAAGAAAAAAAAAAGCCTCTTACCAAAGCTTCCTTCCTCAGAGCAGTCGTCTGACTCCTCCCACATCTCTGAAGCCAATAATGGATTTTGGGATTCACTTTGATTCTTCAAGGGGAAGAAATGGCCATTCCCTTGACTGAAGAGTGAACAGTGAACAGACATTGAAAGTAAATATTGATTTAGCGCCTAATTTAGACTTGATAGGCCAATCAGTTTTAGATAGGCACTTGCAAAATATCCCCATTGTAGAACATATAAATGTAATCTCATTTTTGAATGCTGCATGCATGTGGAAAACTTACCCAGTAAAGACTGGGATGAGCCACAGTCTGTGGTCCTCTCCAAAAACCTGCTGCAGGTTTCTTCTTATACCCACATTAAACCCATTTTTGTCTGGTCCATTGACAAAAACTGGTGCAGAGAAAGCCTCTACGTATACAAATAATATACAGAAATGTCTAAAACAATATGCCAAATTAGTAATGTGTTAATATTTTTAATAAACAAATGATGCTTGCCTAAAGTGGATCGATTTTTTGCCACCAACCAACAATGATAGCCAAAGAGGAACATGAGACTGACGAAGAACATGACCGCCACAAACATGAGGAAGAGCACATGGAACTTGGCCGGTCCATTTGGCAAATCCCCCTAAGCCAAGAAGAGGAGAGGCCAAAGTGCTGATGAACTTACAAGATATAATGCATTCAGTATTTATTTGACACGGTCACTCATGACTCATGGTATAACACTTACCACCCAGAATTTGAGGAAATATTGAAACACTGTTGCTGCAATAAATACACAGTAAAGGATTGAGTATGACAGGAAGAGAAGAAAAAACTTGTAGTTGGAAAATCCCACACAGTTGTTCACCCTAAAATGTCAGATACAAATTTACTGCATTAGATCAAGTACAAGATTGAAGCTTCATGTAGCAAGTAGTTTACAGTGTACATACCAAGGACAGTGATGGTCCATCTTCAAAACACAGCTAAAAAAAGGAATACAAATATTACACTACTATTTTGCCAGTTTGTATGATGGAGAATGGTAGGAGAAAGCTAGACATTGAGGTGCGAGTTGCCATTACTCCTCCAAAAAATTTTAGTACTTTTTTTATCCTGTATTCCATATTTTAATAATTCCTGTTCCATCTGAACATTACTGCCAACAGCATCTGTGTCTCTTTTGCAAGGTAAGATGTTGCTCTGATTCATCACTCAGGGATATATGTGCCAACAAAACAACACCTAATAATTACAAACTGCTCTTCACCAAATAATATGTCTGGCCTTGGGCACTACTTCTACATGAATGGGTGAGGAGGAAAGACAGACTTACGTTTCACAAACTGAGCAGTGGTGACATCGGTCAGGCTTCAGCACCTGGCAGCGGTCACAGAACCTGATAGCTGGAGACAAGAGGATGACCAGTTGAATGAACGACATTTGAGACATGCGTTACCCTTTGCTTATTTCCTGAAGCTTCGAACTTCGCAATCAGCACTAATGAAAGAGATACATTGGCTGATTACATTAGATGGGGATGCTCTAAGGTCCCTAAGAGTTGATTGTTTTAGCCTACTTGTTACCTCACTAGGGTGCACATGACCAAAGAATAAAAACTCTAGAATATTACTTGGAAAACAGATTACCTCCAGATTGTGCACGGGTGGAAATGGGCAGCTTTTTTGCTATCTCAACAAGGATCTGTTTCTGAGCATCTGGCCTCTCCTCCATCTCATATCTTTCTTTGTCTGAATATGAGAGTTGAAACTGATAAAATATAAAAATGTTAGTGTGGGTGTCATCCATAGATTTCAGTTAGTAATAGGACGCTGGTATACCTTTTTACACGGAGAAGCAGGAGGCGTGAATATGGACTTCCAGTAAGTCCACGAGAACATCATAAAGCAAATATGAAAAACTAGAAGATAAGCCACTGCAGCAAAAACACAGTACCATTCATTAATCATAAGACAAGACCTCGTGCCTATAGCGATCAATAACAACAAACTAAAATCAAGCACTTACCTTTTTCGAATGTATTAGAAATAGTGACTGTAAAATAAAAGAAAAAAAAGTATTAAAGCATATAAAGTAAACACGTGAAGAAAACACAATTACATATCTTACTACATGCAATAACAGAGATTTGATTATTCTCTGTACCAATCGTAAAATGATTAACTGTATTTACACAGTTTTTAACACATTACTAATTGGTTTATTTTTGCTTAGACTTGTGTATTATTAGTAAAATACGTTCAAAAGCTCTTTCCGCTTTGTTAGTTGCTAGTTCTGGCCGCATAATGCTGTCAACACTACTGTGCGGAAATCTGCGACGTCGCCGGCAAAACGAAGACAAAATCACAACAAATCGACACTGTTTCGAATACTTACACAAGCATAACTCAAACACGTAGGCATAGTACGACCACAGGACCACAGAGGTGATAATAAGGACGGGTATCCAGGAGAAAACCTTTTGACAGCATCTCAAACCTCTGGAGAGAGCCATATCCATCTCATCTCACGGCTGATCGGGGCTCGACTACTATTCCTGGGATTTATCCATCAGTGACGGGAGGCAATCAGGAAGCGATTTACTAAGGAAAATTCGCAGACGGGTTGCCAGATTGGGTGGATTTTCTTACCTGAATATATAGACTGTATGCCTGAATGTGAAGAAGTGTGGCGTTAACGATTGAAATTAGTAGCTCTGCTTGTGGTACAGAATGTCAAGGTTTGTTTGTTTTGTCATGGCTACTTTAATCGGAGTTAACTAGATGAGCTGGTAAAACACGTCGGGCCAGATTTTTGTACGTGTCCAAGAACACTGCAAACATAGCCCCAACTTTACATTGACATTTTCGTATTTGAAATATGTCATACCATTAGACAAAAAGAAAGGAAACGCAAACACGAGCTCATATTGTGAAAAACCCACTAGAGGGCGCTGTGAGATTGTGAAAACAAAAGTCCACAAGCCTCCAAAATAGGCTACATAATAACGCACCTCTTTTTGCTTTCATTTATTGAAATATAATTAATTAAATTAAATATTATAATTAAATACATAGGTCATAGGTATTTCAAGACTGAGGTAAAATCCCTCAGTCGTTCAAAGTACAGTTTATTTCTCATTGCATATACCCCAGACTTGGTGATGGTAAGAGACAAGCTGCTGTTGCCACATTTACCCTTGACCTGACATGGATGCTAATCCCCGCCAAGAAGCTCTCTTACTAAGAATTGCACCTGATTTATAGAAAAGGTGAGTGAAGTGTCTTACCCAAGGACACAGCAATAGGGTTTCCTGAATAATTCTGTAACAGTTTAGCTACTTCACCTAATTGGTTAATAAGGAAAAAGACATGTTGTATCTTTCACATCTTCACCCTCCTCCTCCTACCAACTTGTTACCTTGAGGTTCTATTCATTGTGCTGTGAGACCCAAGTATCAACAAAAGGAGCATTTAACTGTGGACCTGTCCTGCAGATCAGAGGGTCTTTTTGGTGGTTCACTGTACCACCTGCTGTTTTACATAATGCAGAGTCCCTCTTAGCAGTGCTAATCCTTCTGTGATAGGGGTGTGAGGTGAGCTGCACCCAAATTTGACCTCCTCTATCCATAACACATGTACGCACCTTTCTTTCACTAGGCCCTCCGCTGCCCCTGACATTTTATTCCACTTCAACACATTGTCTGTAGTTGGCTCTCCATGTATTTCCTGTACTCAGACTACTATCCTCTCTTCAGACAACAGTGTCAGCATCTGAGCAATGACAGCTCCTCTCTCATTCAACTGAGCACAGAGGGCAGGGAGTGGCCCACCATCCATCAGCACAGCAGCAAACCTGTCCACTACAAAGCCATTGTAATTGACTCAATAGTAACAGGCCTTCAATCAAAACATTTGCAACAAACAGCTTGCATTAGCAGGTTGAGACAAACTCTGCCTCTTAGTCAGGCCTGTGTTGGAGGTGCATTCCTGGCCATCCGGGTGGGAGTCTACATACGCAGACAGTAGGGGATGAGAGTCTTTTTGGGAAGAAGTCATTCGTAGCTGCAGAGAAGTGTGAAACCACAGGGACTTACAATGCCCGTCTATTAACTGGCAAGACAGGCACGATGGCTGACATGGTCCAGTTACTGGAGTTTGCTCCTAAGCTGCCACTCTCTGTTCTGTCTTGAAGATGAAGCGGCACTTAAAGTGTGCATTTTACTTGACCCCTAAGACAGTCATGTCATGCAGCTTTTCAGTCTTGAAGGAAGAATGCTAGTGATGCTAAGTACATGAGAGTTTGGTTTATTAAGAGGTGTATATGAGAAACAATTGTATTATCTTGTTGTGTCACTGGGTTTCAAGTTATTTTTTATTTGTATAAATGATTCTGTGATTTGATTAGAGTTCTCATTTCATTCCCTGCATGCTTCACTGTCTGGACAAAGAATCCTGTCATGTGTTTGAAGTCAATATGGAGCGCATATTGGAAAGTCGGCATTCATCTCAAAGTATTGTCATTGGTGAGTGGCCAGGTGATCAAAGGGCTGCTGTTGCTGCCCACATTTACACAAATGCTATGTGTGTGAAAATCTGAGTTGAGTAGACTAATTAGCAGAGAGACCAGCTCAAGAAAACACAGCTATGATTTCATAGAACATGGTCTCACACGTCATTTGTAATTTAGCGTAACACAAGACAGAAAACAACTTAATGCATTCTACCATTAGCTTATTAACAGCAATGAATTCTCTTGAAGTTGTCTAGATGCTGGTTGTGCATTATGCATGCTTGAAGTTGTCATGTTGGAATGTGGAAGAATAATGCATGTAATTTCTGCATTGGTACGTCATACTGTCTAATGTCCTGAGTGTGAGAACTACTACAGGGCAGTAATTACTGCTTCTCAACCCTCTGATGCAGGATTTCAGACGTCTGGAAAGCTGCTGGACTGGTGACATCAACATGCAGTGCTCAGTGGAGCAAGAGAAGACCCATGTTTCTGCTCATATTCACACTTAACAGCAGAACAAACAATGACAGGGTGGGGAGGACTTGCAGACACCTCACCCAGCATGTGTGAAAATAAATCTGCTCAAGGGTGGAGACCTGTGTGTCTTCAACAATCATGGAAATTTGAATGGTTATGCCACGCTGAGGGCCATATGCGTTTTAATAAGAGCACTTTATTACACCTTTGCATGTCACACTGTACACTACTCAAAGGTCTCTCTAATACTCAAATACTCTCTAAACCAGCATAAACTCAGCATTAATAAATAAGGCCCATACCTTCTTGTCACTGAGCGTGTACTGTCAATTGCATTTTGTCTAATGACACCTTCCCATCAACTCTTATGGCTGTATATGGAGCAGAACATTAAAGGGCTGGTGTGCACAGGTTTATTGGCATCAAGTGTGCTTTTATTCTGTGAGAGGAAACAGGCCGTGTTTCTCTGTATCTATCAGACTTTGTCAGACCAGCCAGTTGTGAATACGTGCAATAAGCACAAATACAATTGGAAGTATATCTATTTCCCATACAGCCATAAAACGCATTGCTCTGTGATGGTGCTGTGGGGAATAGCTGAGGTAAACGGTGGTAGGCTTCATTTGGTCCTGATGGTCCAAACAAATTGACGCAGCCAAGCAGATACACCTGGGAGTAACTCACTCATCTTTCATAATGTTTCCTCTACAAATAATATTACACGTCACAAGTACACATAAAGACGTTATGGAGAATATGTGTAGAAGCTACATTTATGTGAGATATGGAAAATTACAAGATACACATATGTACTATACCAGCTGCAATTTTTTGGTTATCTACCACAGATACCTCACTTGAGGAGACGTTAAGTGCAATCCAAATGTTATTGCTGAACATTGCAATACCAGATGTGCAGTATGTCAACAGCAGAGTGTGCTGGTTCAATTAAATAAAAACACTTTGATGGCATGGTAAATAACAACTCTACTTGGTTCACTGGTTCACTGTAATCTGATTTTTATTTCAAATTTCTGATGGCCGGTAATATTCACTGTTGATGCAAAAATTATCAAGAAAGTAATTGCATTATTCATTTTTATACAACTTCTCACTGGTAGATAGCTTTTTGCTGTGTTAGGGATTAGGCAGGAATCACAATAAGAAGGATATTTTGTGTGTGCTGCTCAGTCTCATGATGCCACTGTACTGAAACAGAGGAGAGTGCCTTGAACTTGGCTGCACTTAGAGTTTGAAGTGTGTGTCGTCTGGTCAGGCTGAGGTCATTTGGGTCAGATAACCCCCACTGTTCATGTCTGCATTCAACACATAATAGAAAGCAGACACCCATACTAACAGATCCCGGCTCTTGACTGATGATATTGACTCTCTTTCCAAAGTTTGCTTTTCCCTCTTCTCTCAATCAAATGTTTGATCAGCGTTGCCATGGACAATTAGTCTGATTGCACAGGCATCAAAGGCTAGTGAGGTCTGAGTCTCTGACGGTCTGGACTCAGAACTGGACTAGCATGAAAACACGTCTCATGTCTATAATTTTAATCTCTCATGTAATCACACTAGGTTTAGGGAAGACTTCAGCTATTTCAGCAATGCCTATTTCTGCCAGCATGAATCATTTACAAAGGCTCATGTGTTTGCAAATATACATAAGATAACCTTTTGAAGGTGCACACACATTATCACATACACATTATTACATAACATGAAATGTGTAATTAAAAAAACAAACATGTGGCTACTTGTTTAGGTTTATACATCATAATAAAATATTTACAATGAATGCCTTTAGGCCTTAATGCTTAATGATATCAGCCACATTACTGGGACTGAAGTGAACCTTGGGGGAGTATGTTTTTTAACATAACAGGATGCCTTTGAGTGAAGATGGAACTGGCTGCCTTTTGCGCTGAAACAAACAATTTCTTGCTCCAATAAATGTCAGTGTTGGAGCATTCCCATCATTCACAAGGTTGACAGTTCAATCCCAACTCAGGCCAGTGGATACTATTGTTGTGTCCTTTGGCAAAACATTTCACCCTTGACTCCAATGTTTCTGGTGTATGACTGTGTGTTTTCAAGTATGAATGTGGAAAACTATTGGAAATCAGCCCATGACCACATGCATGTGTCTTATGTGTCCATTTACATTGTAGACAACAGTCAGTGTGGGCAGCTATGGGACATTCGTAAAACACTGATTGTTCACTAAAACAATGCTCTAAACAAGCCAATACGTAAGTATTTATCAATCAAATCAATAGGTCTATAGTCTATCTGCACAAGGTGCTCCACCCTAACTGGATCCAGATGAGCTCCATCATGTCATACTTGGAGGAGAACCAATCTTACATGACAGAAGTGGGTGGGTATTTCTGTGGCTCTGATAAAAGTGGGGAGAGTAGGAAAAAACATTTCTAGGGGACACTCTATTAAAGAAAAGGCATGAGGTCTTTTCCACAGCTGTTTTGCGCATTGGCCTGAATACAGGACCTGGTAATAGGAGTGTTCGGCAGTGCAGAGGCACTCTCCGCTGAGGGTCATTTTATGCTATT